AGAGCCAGGCTGAGTAGAGCCAGGCTGAGTAGAGCCAGGCTGAGTAGGGGTGTGCAGGGCTGAGCAGACTTGGGGCTGATTAGGGGCAGTGCAAAAGGGGCATAATAGTGCAAAACAATACACCGAACAACAGCAACACGATTCTCATGGTTCTGTTCTGCTATAATTTACACGCTTAATGCGAGCACTAACATGAACTAAACTAACAAACTATCCATCCATCCATTTTCTTCTGCTTATCCAAGGTAGGGTCGCGGGGGTAGCAGCTTAAGTAGGGAGGTCCAGACTTCCCTCTCCCCAGCCACTTGGGCCAGCTCCTCTGGGGGAATCTCAAGGTGCTCCCAGGCCAGCCAAGAAACATAGTCCCTCCTGCGTGTCCTGGGTCTTCCTCTGGGTCTCCTCCCGGTGGGATGTGTCTGGAACACCTCACCAGGGAGGCATCCAGGAGGCATCCTAACCAGATGCCCGAGCCACCTCAACTAGCTCCACTCAGAGAAGCAGCAGCTCTACTCTGAGTTCCTCCCGAATGACTGAGCTTCTCCCCCTATGTCTAAGGGAGAACCTGCGGAAAAAACTCATTTTGGCCGGTTGTATCCGAGATCTCGTTCTTTCAGTCACAACCAAAAGCTCATGACCATAGATGAGGGTAAGAACATAGATCGACCGGTAAATTGAGAGCTTCGCCTTTTGACTCAGCTCTCTCTTCACCATGACAGACCTGTACAGCGCCCGCTTCACTGCAGACGCTGCACCTATCCGCCTATCAATCTCATGCTTTTTCCCTCATTTGTGAACAAGACCCCAAGATATTTGGGCTCCTCCACTTGGGGCAGGACCTCCTCCCCGACTCGAAGAGGGCATTCTACCCTTTTCCGGCTCAAGACCATGGCCTCGGATTTGGAGGAACTGATCCTCATCCCGGCTGCGTCACACTCAGCTGCGAACTGCTCCACTGAAAGCTGTAGATCACGACCTGATGAAGCCAATAGGACCACATCATCTGCAAAAAAACAGAGATGCAATCCTAAGGCCACCTAAATGGATCCCCTCAACATCTTGGCTGCGCCTAGAAATTCTGTCCATGCATAAGGGTATCTGTCCATAAAAGTTATGAACAGAATCAGTGACAAAGGGCAACTTGGCAGAGTCCAACTCTCAATGAGAACGAGCCCGACTTACTGCTGGCAATGCGAACCAAGCTCTGACACCAGTCGTACAGGGACCTAACAAAGGGCCTGGTACCCCATATCCTCAGAGTACCCCCCACAGTGTTCCCCACAGGGTTCCCGGAGGGACGCGGTCGAACGCCTTCTCTAAGTCCACAAAGCCCTTGTAGACTGGTTGGGCAAACTCCCACGCACCCTCCAGGACCCTGCTGAGAATGTAGAGCTGGTCCAGTGTTCCACGACCAGGACGAAAACCGCACTGCTCCTCCTGAATCTGAGGTTCGACTATCCGACGGATCCTCCTCTCCAGAACTCCTGAATAGGCCTTACCAGGGAGGCTTAAGAGCATGATCCCCCTGTAGTTGGAACACACTCTACGGTTCCCCTTTTTGAATAGGGGGACCACCAACCCAGTCTGCCAATCCAGGGGAACTGCCCCCGATGTCCACGCAATATTGCAGTTGAGTAAGCCAACACAACCCCACAACATCCAGAGCCTTAAGGAACTCTGGGCAAATCTCATCCACCCCTGGGGCCATGCCACAAAGGAGCTTTTTAACCACCTCGGTGACCTCAGCACCAGAGATTGGAGAGCCCAACCCAAAGTCCCCAGGCTCCGCTTCCTCAGTGGAAGATGTGCTGGTGGGATTGAGGAGGTCTTCGAAGTACTCTGCCCACCGACCCACGACATCCCGAGTTGAGCAGCACACCGCCCCCACTATAAACTAACATAAACTAAACTAACAAACTGGGATTTATTCAGAGCATGCGACAAAAATACAGAAACAAGGCGCCAAAAGTGAAAAAGAAATAAAGATACAGCAGCATGGTCCTATTGGCAGAGTGGTTCTGATGACAGTGAGGTTCTCTCAGCAACATGGTCCAGTTAGCAGCATGGTTCTGTTAGTGGTGAGGTTCGGTTAGTGGCGTGGTGTTGTTAGAAGCATTAGCAGGTCTTGTTAGCAGGTCCCTTCTGCAGCATGACAATAATAATAAGGATAACAGCAGCTGCCTCCCATATGTCAGGGTTCCGTCAGGACACAAGTCAGGGTTCCGTCAGGACATATGTCAAGGTTCTGTCAGGACACAAGTCAGG